TATAGCCGGCAGGGGAGGAGGCTGGCCCTCAGGTGAGGGTCTGAGGACACTCTCTTTCCCTTCTGTGAGGGGATGAATGTCAGCAGCTCTGACCTTGAAGTAGTCACAGCTGCACTGATGAACTTGACAATGTCTGTTCAGAGAACAGAATTCTGCAACGCTTCCCTTCTTTTGACAAGCAGCAGCAACTTGTGTGATTTCCCCAAGCAGGGCATTAAAGCAGGATGAAAGGAGAAAGAAACGGAATGCAGCCTGGGGGGGGGGGGGCAGTGTCCCTGGGCAATGGACTCCTCCAGTCCATGGTCCCATGATATTACATGTAAATAGTCATTCATTTAAGGAGAAATTAATGACTTCTCATCATTAAAAATAAAAGCTGCCAGGCGGTGGTGGCGCACGCCTTTAATCCCAGCACTCGGAAGGCAGAGGTAGGCGGATCTCTGTGAGTTCGAGGCCAGCCTGGTCTACAGAGCGAGGTCCGGGACAGGCTCCAAAGCTACACAGAGAAACCCTGTCTCGAAAATAAATAAATAAATAAATAAATAAATAAATAAATAAATAAATAAGCCATGAAATGAATCCCACCCCACCCCCATCTCACCAAGAGAGGAAGAATTAGAACCTATGATTTTGAAGAGAAGGTTCTAGAAGGTCCAATCAGTGGCCCATCAAATTGCTTGTCAAGCCCCACAAACCAGTCACCCCTGAATGCTAGCCTGAGTAAAGGGCATCTCAGAAGGCTGAGATAAAGGGGGGGTGTGTGTGTCAATGGGATAGGTATGTAGTGGGAGCCAGGATGGGAATCGGCTAAGGGGACACCTTAGAGGGATGTGTTTGTGGGTGGCTTGGGTGTTAGGGCGTGTGTATGTGTGAGTGTGTGTGTGACTAGAAGACAACAAGGCTTGGGTGGCACGTGTGAGAAGCAGTGGGGGTAGTGTGGGCAAAGGAGGGCCTGCCCCCTCAGGTCCTGCGTGTCGCTGGGTCCCTGTGCCATGACTACTGTGTGTGAGTGTGCCACCACATGCGGTGGCTGCTCCTGGGCGTAGGAGGAGATCTTATCAGCGCTAGGTGTGTGTGGAGTTTCAGGCTACCTCATCACCCCCCATCTCTCCACCTCCCATCGGGCCTTGCCCCTCATCCTCTGTACAGGAAGTGGGCTCGCCCTGGGTTTCAGTCTGTTGCTGGCCTAGCTGCTGTCTGCTACCTAAGCTGCTGAGCAGGAGATGGCCGAGGACCCAGTCTCCAGTAGACCTGCAGGGAGCATACCACCGCAACTCCATGTCGCAGCGAGGTGATGTCCCTGTGTTGTCCCTTGGGAGCTCAGGGTACCCCCACCACCTCTTGCTGGTCATCCCAAGGGACAGGGGGGGCTGGGAAGACAATCATCTCTGACTCAGTTCCCCCCTGGAGTTTCTATGTGGGCTTTGGATCCCCTGGGGATAGGGTAGCTTGGCTGTTATGGTTTCTCCTTTAAGAATAAGCTCCTTCCAATGTCAAGCCACAGTGGCTTCTTCCCAGTTCATACTATGGGGGGCTGTGAGCCACCTTGCCATGAAGGCCTTCTCTGGGCTCTGGGCCCTGCGTGGTGATGTCTTAGCCCAGAGGGCTAGAGGAGGAGGTGGAAAGCTAGACTCAGAGGCAACGTAGTGTGTATGGGACATGGCTGCTTCCTGTGCAGTGGGTCTCTGCCTGAGGAGTACTCCTTAGGCGGTGAAGGAAGGAGAGAGGGGAGGGGATCTTCTCCGGGACCTGGCTGTGAGCCGGCAATGCTGACTGACAGGTATCTGAGGGCCCTAGGCTGGAGGCCAGAGGTAGAGCTCTAGCTTAGATGTGTCTCTCCGTTTACGGAGTGGCTGAGAGGTGTCAGGAGTGTGTCTGGGCACTGGGTTCCGTCTCGGAGGCTGCCTGAGGTAGGAGCTTCCCACGGGAAGCTGTACTTCAGGGCCAAGGTGGGTGGCTGAGGGAGGCCGAGCTACCTTTGAAGGTTCCCTTGCTTCCACACACTCTTCCAGGAGATGCCCTCAGTTGAGCAGCAAAAGGTGAGTGGCGTGTGTGTGTGTGTGTGTGTGTGTGTGTGTGTGTGTATGTCTTTGGGGAGGTGGGCAGAGAAAGGACATCTGAGGTCAAAGGTCAGCAGGTCAGATAGACAGCCCCCTGCTTGTCATCCTCCCTCAGCTGACCCTGGACCCCACAGACCCGTGGAGCCTCAGACTGCCTCAGGCTGAGACTCGCTCCTTCTGTCCTGGGAAACAGGATGGTTTATGCCCACGTAGAAAGAGCCATCGCAGAACCTGCTCTTGTGCCGTGAGACCACGCCGTGACATGTGGGGGTCAGTCCAGGGCAGGAAGCATGACGGTCAGTCACCACTGACCCTGCTCCGCTGTCGTCACTGCACTGGAAATCAGGTGACCCAGTTAGAACAGCCTGGGTCTGTGGGATGACAGGCCCTGTTGAGGCCTCAGTGGAGACATATGAGTCAGGGGTGGGAACGTCTGGTAGTTGTGAAGGGCATGCGTGGGTGTGCCTCAAGGGGACAGTGCCTGGGACGCTGAGGTCTTGAGCTGCGCTTGCGCCGCCCGAGGCTGGCCTCACGGTGTGTGGTTTTGAGTGGCTTCCTTAGTCTCCCAGAGACTAACATTGTCCATGATGGGGGGATGCTCCTGCGCCCCTTCAGTCGGGGCTGGGAAGCAGGCTTGAGAGCTTTATCCAAGGCCTGCTGTGCTTTGGGCTGGCGCTTGTGGTCTGGCCCCGACCTTCCTATGGTTTTGCCTCTTGCATCCCCTTATCCTCTCCCCCGGGGTTATGTCCCAGGTCTCTCGCAGCTTGAGGCTGCTCCGAGATGCTGGGCCTAACCTGGGTGACTCCCTCATCAAAGCCTATAAGTACTTCAGCTCATGCTGGGCCCCTGAGGGGCTGTGGGGGGGCCCCTCACTTAGATTCTTCAGGGACCTGTAAGGGCTCCCTCCTGACCCAAGCACCTGCAGGGACCTGATTCTTCAGGACAGGGAGGTCCTGGGTGGAACCCCAGCTCTGCAGACTTGACCCTGGGAGCCTTGGTCTCCCGGTCTGTGTAGCAAGGACACAGAACAGCTGCTGAGCTGTTGGGCAGAAGAGAGTGGCCAGAAGCCTGACGGCCCTGGTACACAGCCTGAGCAGAGCTCACTGAATATCGCTGGCAAGCACTGTCACCAGCCCACTCAGCATCACTCACTGTCCTGCAGACCCCCGAACGCACGGGATTCCTTCAGTGCATGGCATTTATTGAACACCTCCCGTGTAACAAGCTCAGCGGTGTGGAGTGGGCACTCTGCCTTGCCAGTCGGGCAACTGTCACGCCGGAGGGGCGGACAGCAATCCAAGGCAGGACATCCTTCCTTCACGGGGGACCCAGGGTGAGCGTGCCACAGAACTAGGAGAGAGGGGAATTTGAAATGGACCTTAAAGGATGGCAGGAGCCTCGGGGGCAGCGGGGGAGGGGGGGGGGGAAGGCGACTCCAGAGAGGCTCTTAGAGGACCAGACCAGAGCCACCAGCTTGTGTGGACTGCAAGAGCCACCCTAGGGCAGGGCTCAACCTTGCTTTGCAGGCTCTCCAGGGCTGAAGTGGTGGCTCTTGGTGACCCTGTGGAGTCTCCTCTTCTGAGCCTACACTTCAGCTTTTACCCCATCATTTCAGTTCACTCCAGGAAAGGCGAGGGTAGAGCATCCTGGGTACCGCTGGAAGCCCATGGCTGGCCAGCAGCTGTCCGCTATGTGATAGGTACTGTACTGGTAATCAAAGACTCAGGAATGAATGAAATCCAGATGTGCCTTGTCCTCATGGACTCTCTGTGACTCATGTGCACGGGTATGCAAGTGTGTGTGTGTGTGTGTGTGTGTGTGTGTGTGTGTGTGTGTGTGAGTGTGTGTGTATGTGTGAGTGTGTGCATGTGTGCATGTGTGTGTGTATGTGTGAGTGTGTGCATGTGTGTGAGTGTGTGTGTATGTGTGAGTGTGTATGTGTGTGAGTGTGTGCATGTGTGTAAGTATGAAAACAAATGGATAAACATGGTATTCCCCTTGTTTTCTACTTCAGTTTTTACAGTTTTAGTTATCTCCATCAACCACGGTTGGAAAATATTAAACAGAAAATTCCAGAACTAAGCAACTCAGGCATTTTAAATTGAACGCCGTTTTAAGTCATGTGCTAAAGCCTTGAGCTATCCTTCTCGATCCTGCATGGGGCTTGAAGCGAGTCCTTTGCCCAGAGTATCCATGATGTAGATGCTTCCCACCCACCAGTCAGCGAGCGGATTCGATTGTCCAATCACCCGTGCAGAGCTCACGGTGCTCTGATGAGTGCCCTGTCACCTCACCTGGTTATGCAGAGTGGGCACCTGTCGGAAGATACTTGGAGTGGGAGAGACCTAATTCACACCATGCTCAGGAGTGCTGGTGGCTGTCTCTTGGAATCTTCTTGTATTGCTAGTACTGTCTTCATGTCTCATGATGGTTTTTTGTTGTTGTTGTTGTTGTTGTTGTTTTTTGTTTTTCAAGACAGGGTTTCTCTGTGTAGCTTTGCGCCTTTCCTGGAACTCACTTTGTAGACCAGGCTAACCTCGAACTCACAGAGATCCGCCTGCCTCTGCCTCCCAAGTGCTGGGATTAAAGGCGTGCGCCACCACCGCCCGGCTGGGCTTTTAATTTATAGGAAAAACATAGTATGTGTAAGGACTGGTTTGGTCGCATGTCTTAGGCATGGAGGTCTTAGGACATAGTCTCTAGGGGACACATTTACTGACCGCTGTACAAAAACAAACAGACGGTGCTGATGCAAAATGGAGTGAAGTATGGTAAGGAGGTGACACCTGATTAGGATCCGGAAGGAAGGGAGTGAGCTCCTGTGGGACAGAGGGCCTGGGGCTGGGCTGCACTGGCTCCGGCTGGGGGGAGAGCCGAGCAGGGTGGGGCTCCTGACTTGTTCTCACTTGGCTCTCTGCTCTCCTCCACTTAGGGCTTGTGTCTTCAGCTCTGCCGCTTGGATATGATGGCTGCCGCAGCTCTGTCCTGGTGTCTGGGCCTCTCCGTCATCCTCCTGTGCCCGGCTACACCTTGGGCGTCTGCAGAGGTGAAGGGTGAGGACCCAGCATTTTGATGATGTCTGTGCTCTCCCTGGTGGGAGGCCGCATCCCAGCCTCCTGCTGCAGAGAGGAGAGTCATCCACGGCAGGGGTCGTGGGAAGAGAGATGAGGTGATGGGACCAGAGGGCAGATGCTCACCTCCCTGTGGCCTGCACAGGCTTCTCCCAGGGACAAGTAGGGGCTGCCGATTGCCCCTGCTTGGCCATGGACAGGCTGGGGTCCCTTCTAATTCTGAAGCTCAGTTTCCTTCCTTTGAAAGGGGTCTGAGTTGGGGCGGGGGTGACAGGTGGCTCAGTGAGTGAATGCCCATCATGCAAGCATGAGAACTTGGGTCCACGTTCCCAATACTCACATAAAAACTATTCAGGAATGGGCTGGCAAGGTTGCTCAGTGGTCAGCATGCATGCCCCACACACCTGACAATCTGAGTTCAGTCCCCCAGATCCCATGGTGGAAGGAGACAGTCAATTCCCAAAAGTTGTCCTCTGGCCTCTATACATATGCCATGGCATCTGTGCTATGTGCACCTGCATGCATGTACCCCCCCCCCCTCAACACACACGAAAAAATCAGGCACTTGCAATCCCAGTGATGGATGAGGTAGAGACAGGAGGATCCCTGGGTCTTGCTCACCAGCCAGTCTAGCTGAATTGTCAAGCCAAGGTCTCAGTGAAAGAGCCTATCAAAACTCCAAGGTGGATAGTGCCTGAGGTTGTTCTCTGGCTTACACACACACACACACACACACACACACACACACACACACACACACACACACACACACGACAATGAAATGAACTTGAATCCTTTTTCTGCCTATCTGAGTCACCTACCCCCTCCTCTGGCAGGCACAGGGTGCCAGGAGCAGGGTAGTGAACATGCCCAGAGGCCATGTGTGTGTCCTGCAGGCAGTCACTCAGTCACTCACACCCTACTTTGCCCACAGACTGTCCCCATCTTAAATGCTTCTACAACTCAAGAGCCAATGTCTCCTGCGTGTGGAGCCGGGAAGAGGCCCTTCAGGTCACCTCCTGCCACATCCAAGCCAAGTCGAGCTTCCGGTGAGTGTGGCCTGGTCACAGAGCAGAACCTCAAGTCTGCGGGAACTCTAATCGGAATCCTGAACCTGAGATTCACAACAGTTGGCTCCAGGCTCAGCCACTCAGTCATTGGGGCTCCTGAAAGTGGGTGGGATCCAGGCTCTAGCTGAGAGTTTCAGAGGTCCTGGGCTGGGTAGTTTGGGGACAGTCATTGTGAGCCTCTGATGCCAAGGCTGTCAGAGGCAAGCAGGGTGGGTACTTGGTGCTTCCTACATTTTTTGAGCAATCTGGTGTTTTGGGAGCGCCCTCAGGCAGCTGTGGGGTCAGGGACCATTGCCTGGGATGCTGTCCTGTGGGGACAGGAAACATCTGGGGGCCACAGGCTTCTTTAAGCTTAATTTAGCTGCATGGAGCTTGGGGGGCTCTTGGAGTGGGGGTGAGGGCTGAGTTGATTTGTGTTCCTTGGTCACCTTGGCTGCTGGGAGGCCAGGCTGGGGGCTGGGATGGTGAGGGCCTAAAAAGGTATTCTAGAGGGGAAGGACCCTGGGAGCATGGGAGGCAGCCGGCTCCTCGCCCACTGTCCTGCTGTCCCTAGCACGGGGGGTTGGGGAAGTGAGAAGGGTCTCTGGGTAGTTCTGTAGTCCTGCCTTGCTTTCTAAGGTGTCCTTTTCTGTTCTGCAAGGTCCTGGAATAAAACCTGTGAGCTATTTCCTGTGGGGCAGGGATCCTGGGCCTGCAACCTGATCCTTGGGAACCTAGATGTGAGTAGCATGGGTGTTGGTGTGTGTGTGTGTGTGTGTGTGTGTGTGTGTGTGTGTGTGTGTGTGTGTGTATACACGTGTGTAGTCAAGTCCTTCCAGCTGTGGGCTGGGGCCTCAGGGTGGTTCTGGACCTCTGCAAGCATCAGCCTGGTGATGTAGAGCAGGTGATGTAGATGCTTGGGCTGAGAGTGAAGGACAGAAGGTGGGATGTTGGCCTGCACCCTTGCTGCCCCTGCCCAGACTCTTGGCCTCTCACTGTCTGCTGTGAGTCGTGACACCCTTTTGCATCCCAGTACAATGACAACCATACCAGACTCTGGCTGAGGTCTCAGCATCGAGGCTGTAGGGGGAGAGTGGCATGCTAGAGTTGGGCATCCCTGCCCTGGTACTGCCTCACGACAGCTCAGTGACTCTGCAGCCTCAGTGTCTCAGTTTCCCCTCCTGTAAAATAGAAAAGAAAATGGAAGCTCCCTCGAAGGGCCATTGTGGCACAGAGCAGATACTGAGAGTCGTAAATAGACCCCCATGACTTTTGTCTCCTTACCAAGGTAGAATCTAAGGCTGAGAGATGCGGTGTCTGCTGGAGGTCACCCAGCCACAAGCAGCCGAGCTGGGATTGACCCCAGGCCTGTGGGCTCCTGGTGGCTTTTCGATATCGCCCATCTGCCTCTTGTAGGACCCGAGTCCAGACCATGCGGATGTAACTTAAAAGTTTCCTCAGACCCTCTGAGGAAAGGGCCAAGGCAGGGGTAGGGGTTTGCCCTGGGAAGCCCGGGCTGTGTTGTCCAGCCTTTGGCAGGTTCCACACGTTCTCAAAGAACGGGAAAGGGAGGATGGCACACAGCACAGCTGGTGAATCTCCAGCTGTGCCAACATGGGGGCTCTGCAGGGACCGCCTTCCATCCTTTATTTCCTAACTGTGTGACCTTAGGCCAGTCCCCAGTCCTCTCGGTAGTTCAGTCTCCTGGACTAATGAATGGGAATGGGGATAGTATGTGTCTGTCTTAGAGAGTGGTAAGAGAATTCAACGAGGTAATTTATGCGAAGAAGAGGGGGCAGAAGTCCCCAGCAGCTTGGTACTGGCAATTTCTTCAGGACAACCACAGAAATAGTAACCAAGTCGTGCTATTATTAAGTGGGTAAGCCGGAACTGGTAGCAGCTGTGAGAGATGAAGGCAGTGTCCTCGGTGAAGTGGGAGGAAGCAAATACTTAGTTGGTTGGTCAGGGAACTCTGATGGACAAGTTCAAAGTCTGTGCAGGTCGGAGGGGTTAGGCCTCAGGGCTTGGACTGCAAACCACCACCCAGTCCCAGAGCACAGGTCCTGCCATGGCCTGCCTCTGAATCTCCTCCTGCAGCCTACTGTCTACACAGGAGCCTGTGGCCCAGCCTACTTGGGGGACCATGTCACCCATCCTCTGTGTTCTGGTCATTCTGGGAAGCTGTGGCTGTAATGGCCTCATGTGAACCCACTTCCTGCTGTCGAGCTGAGTGGTCTGAGCATCCCTAACCACAGGCTTCTAGAGTAGCACAGGGAGGGACCACTGTGTTCATCAACAAGGTGTGAGTAGGGACTGCTTAGCCATTTCCTTCCAGAATAGCCGGGGGTAAGGCTATTCAGTAGGTCCAGTTCTGCCTTCTCTGTGGATGACTTTTTGGGGGGCTTAGCTCTTTGCATACATCTTGTGATGAGAAACTTCCTCTCAACCCTGGTGGCCTACTTCAGTTTATATCAGGGATTACTGAATGACTATGCTCCCTGTGCCAATCCCAGCTGCAGTCTGTGTTTGTAAATAAAGTTTTATTGGGATGTGGCCCTGATATCAGTTCATTTGCTGTCTGTAGTTCTACTAAGACAATAGCAGAGTTGAGTTGTGACAGAGGCTATGTGGTCTGTGCAGCTGAAAGTGTTCGCAATCTGGCTGGCTACAGACAATGTTTGCTGCCCCCTGCCTTAGATGGCTGGTAGAGGCAAAGCTTGTCCTTGCCTTGATAGGTTAATGGCCCTTTCATCTCAATGGCTTCTGGTAGCTACACCTCTGCCTTTCCTCTCTTGTAGTCCCAATCACTGACTGCTGCAGATTCTCTCAACATAAGTGTGGTGTGCTGGGAAGGGAAGGGCTGGCGCAGGGTGAAGACCTGTAACTTCCGTCCCTTTGAGAACCGTGAGTATGGAGTCTAGATTTGTGGGTCCCACCTCTCCTGGTAGCCATCAGCCTCTGAACCCTTCTCAAGCCTGTCCCAGCACCTACCTGGAAAGCTACCCCACCCCTGCCTGGAAGATTCCCACTCAGCCTTCAGCTCTTACCTAGCTGTGGGTCTATCTCCCTTGTTGGGCTGGGAACTCCCGGAGGGCAGAGTCTCTGCCAGTCCTGCAGCTCCTCGCTGAACACTGAACTCCAGGCCTGAATAGGCAGAGCTTGGGGAAGCCTTGTTGAATGACTAGGTGACCTTGGAGGCTGCCTCTAAAGAAGAGAAGGGGTAGAAGGGAGATCCAGGCAGAATTCAAATCGTAGTCTAGCCTTGACTTGGTCTGGCTAGCAGGTCATTGAACATGTTGGGGCCTTAATTTTCTTTTCTGTAAAGTGGGGAGAATTGAGGGCCTCATGACGGGAAGGAATGAGAGCTAGGATGCATAAACTCCTCAGCATCTAGGCACAGTAAAAAAACTTGTGTTTTGTGGGTGGACAGAATCTCAGGGTTACAGACTTAGAGCAGTTTAGTTCAGGGAAAATGAAGTACATATTACACTTAAAATCCACACAGGCTGGGCATGTGGCTAGAACACTTGCCAAGCTTGTACCAACACACTCTCACAAATATTAACAGACAAATATATTGAATACATATAGTGTAATTGAGAAGTGAATCATAGACATGTTTATGGTTTATATTTACATTTAATAAGTATATTTGTGGAACACACAGATGTAAATTTATATTAAATGCTATGTAATTATTGTTATATGCTTATAATTATTTAAATTATGTTTTATACTGTATAAATGTATTCATATGATTACAAATTCATCAATAATAAAGATACCTGGATAAAATAAAGTATATGAGCTAATCCCTGTACAGCTCTCAGATCAGTATTCAAGCAGGGCATGGCTGCTTGCCAATCACTCAACAGCTGGAGAGTGTCCCAGGTACCAAAGGCTCAGCAGACATCTCAGTCCCTGACTCAGACATCCCAGGAGGGGGTGGGCAGAGGACGAGGATCCCAAGTAGATTCGCTCTGTGAGGTGTGGGCAGAGTAACAAGAGTAGGGGTGTAGGATGAAGAGGAGCCGGTGCAGAGGAGGAGGAGCAGGTGCAGAGGAGGAGGAGGAGCAGGTGCAGAGGAGGAGGAGGAGCAGGTGCAGAGGAGGAGGAGGAGCAGGTGCAGAGGAGGAGGAGGAGCAGGTGCAGAGGAGGAGGAGGAGCAGGTGCAGAGGAGGAGGAAGAGCAGGTGCAGAGGAGGAGGAGGAGCAGGTGCAGAGGAGGAGGAGGAGCAGGTGCAGAGGAGGAGGAGCAGGTGTAGAGGAGGAGGAGGAACAGGTGCAGAGGAGGAGGGACAGGTGCAGAGGAGGAGGAAGAGCAGGTGCAGAGGAGGAGGAGGAGCAGGTGCAGAGGAGGAGGAGCAGGTGTAGAGGAGGAGGAGGAACAGGTGCAGAGGAGGAGGGACAGGTGTAGAGGAGGAGGAGGAGCAGGTGCAGAGGAGGAGGAGGAGCAGGCGCAGAGGAGGAGGAGCAGGTGTAGAGGAGGAGGAGGAACAGGTGCAGAGGAGGAGGGACAGGTGCAGAGGAGGAGGAGGAGCAGGCGCAGAGGAGGAGGAACAGGTGCAGAGGAGGAGGGACAGGTGCAGAGGAGGAGGAAGAGCAGGTGCAGAGGAGGAGGAGCAGGCGCAGAGGAGGAGGAGGAGCAGGTGCAGAGGAGGAGGAGGAGCAGGTGCAGAGGAGGAGGAAGAGCAGGTGTAGAGGAGGAGGAGGAGCAGGTGCAGAGGAGGAGGAGGAGCAGGTGCAGAGGAGGAGGAGGAGCAGGTGCAGAGGAGGAGGAGGAGCAGGTGTAGAGGAGGAGGAAGAGCAGGTGCAGAGGAGGAGGAGGAGCAGGTGCAGAGGAGGAGGAGGAGCAGGTGCAGAGGAGGAGGAGGAGCAGGTGCAGAGGAGGAGGAGGAGGAGCAGGTGCAGAGGAGGAGGAGGAGCAGGTGCAGAGGAGGAGGAGGAGCAGGTGTAGAGGAGGAGGAGGAGCAGGTGCAGAGGAGGAGGAGGAGCAGGTGCAGAGGAGGAGGAGGAGCAGGTGCAGAGGAGGAGGAGGAGCAGGTGCAGAGGAGGAGGAAGAGCAGGTGTAGAGGAGGAGGAGGAGCAGGTGCAGAGGAGGAGGAGGAGCAGGTGCAGAGGAGGAGGAGGAGCAGGTGCAGAGGAGGAGGAGGAGCAGGTGCAGAGGAGGAGGAAGAGCAGGTGCAGAGGAGGAGGAGCAGGTGCAGAGGAGGAGGAGGAGCAGGTGTAGAGGAGGAGGAGGAGCAGGTGCAGAGGAGGAGGAAGAGCAGGTGCAGAGGAGGAGGAGCAGGTGCAGAGGAGGAGGAGGAGCAGGTGCAGAGGAGGAGGAGGAGCAGGTGCAGAGGAGGAGGAAGAGCAGGTGCAGAGGAGGAGGAGCAGGTGCAGAGGAGGAGGAGGAGCAGGTGTAGAGGAGGAGGAGGAGCAGGTGCAGAGGAGGAGGAAGAGCAGGTGCAGAGGAGGAGGAGCAGGTGCAGAGGAGGAGGAGGAGCAGGTGCAGAGGAGGAGGAGCAGGTGTAGAGGAGGAGGAAGAGCAGGTGCAGAGGAGGAGGAGGAGCAGGTGCAGAGGAGGAGGAGCAGGTGCAGAGGAGGAGGAAGAGCAGGTGCAGAGGAGGAGGAGCAGGTGCAGAGGAGGAGGAGGAGCAGGTGCAGAGGAGGAGGAAGAGCAGGTGCAGAGGAGGAGGAGGAGCAGGTGTAGAGGAGGAGGAAGAGCAGGTGCAGAGGAGGAGGAGGAGCAGGTGTAGAGGAGGAGGAAGAGCAGGTGCAGAGGAGGAGGAGGAGCAGGTGTAGAGGAGGAGGAAGAGCAGGTGCAGAGGAGGAGGAGGAGCAGGTGTAGAGGAGGAGGAAGAGCAGGTGCAGAGGAGGAGGAGGAGCAGGTGCAGAGGAGGAGGAAGAGCAGGTGCAGAGGAGGAGGAGCCGGTGCAGAGGAGGAGGAGCCGGTGCAGAGGAGGAGGAGCAGGTGCAGAGGAGGAGGAGCAGGTGCAGAGGAGGAGGAAGAGCAGGTGTAGAGGAGGAGGAGGAGCAGGTGCAGAGGAGGAGGAGGAGCAGGTGCAGAGGAGGAGGAGGAGCAGGTGCAGAGGAGGAGGAGGAGCAGGTGTAGAGGAGGAGGAAGAGCAGGTGCAGAGGAGGAGGAGCAGGTGCAGAGGAGGAGGAGGAGCAGGTGTAGAGGAGGAGGAGGAGCAGGTGCAGAGGAGGAGGAAGAGCAGGTGCAGAGGAGGAGGAGGAGCAGGTGTAGAGGAGGAGGAGCAGGTGCAGAGGAGGAGGAAGAGCAGGTGCAGAGGAGGAGGAGGAGCAGGTGCAGAGGAGGAGGAGCCGGTGCAGAGGAGGAGGAGGAGCAGGTGCAGAGGAGGAGGAGGAGCAGGTGTAGAGGAGGAGGAAGAGCAGGTGCAGAGGAGGAGGAGCCGGTGCAGAGGAGGAGGAGCCGGTGCAGAGGAGGAGGAGCAGGTGCAGAGGAGGAGGAGCAGGTGCAGAGGAGGAGGAAGAGCAGGTGTAGAGGAGGAGGTTGAGGAGCAGGTGCAGAGGAGGAGGAGGAGCAGGTGCAGAGGAGGAGGAGCAGGTGCAGAGGAGGAGGAGGAGCAGGTGCAGAGGAGGAGGAGCAGGTGCAGAGGAGGAGGAGGAGCAGGTGTAGAGGAGGAGGAGGAGCAGGTGTAGAGGAGGAGGAAGAGCAGGTGTAGAGGAGGAGGAGGGACAGGTGTAGAGGAGGGAAGAACAGGTACAGAGGAGGAGGGACAGCAGGTGCAGGGGAGGAGTCAGGACAGTTGCTGAGGAGGAGTTGGTGCTGGGGATGCTGTGTGGTGGAAACGGGGCTGAATGTTCTTGGTATCTTACTGGTTGATCCGTGATACCTGTTCCCTCCTCTCTGTCTGCAGTCCGCCTGATGGCCCCTCATTCACTCCAAGTTCTGCACATTGAAACCCAGAGCTGCAACATAAGCTGGGAGGTCTCTCAGGTCTCTCACTACATTAATAGACACTTGGAATTTGAGGCCCGCACACGTTCCCTGGGCCAACGCTGGGAGGTGAGGACATAGCCAATCCCCTGCCTCTGCTGCACCTTCCTGTTCTGATGCGTGCCCTTGTCCATTTCTACAGACTGATGTGCAGCTGTTTCATCCTGGTCCTCCTATATTGCTTAGCACTGCCTGCTCCTCCCATGCTCTAATAGCCAGAGGATGCAGCTATGTAGACCCCATGGCGAGATGGTATATGAGGCTCAGCAGCTGCCTTTCCACATTCTAAATCCAGACATTCCCTGGCTTCAGGGCTTCAGGGGGTGGTGGGTTGAGACTCATCATCCACACACTCATTCTGATACTTACCTGGGGACCCCGGTATTCAGGGCCCCAGCAGCTGGGGGAGCAGGGAGCTTTTGAGAGGGCCAGGGAGAGGCTGCTTGCTTAGCCCCTTGATCTGGCTATGGGAGGTGAGGTGGACAGTGGAGACCTTGCTGAGCGGCACCCATCTCTGCTCAGGATGCACCCCTGCTAAGCCTTACACAGAGACAGCAGTGGATCAACCTGGAGACGCTTACCCCTGACACCTCATACGAGCTCCAGGTGCGGGTCAGGGCCAAACGAGGTGACCGCAGGACCTGGAGCCCCTGGAGCCAGCCCCTGGCCTTTCGGACAAGACCAGCAGGTACAATGGGCAGCGTGGAGGGAGCTGGGCAGGGGCCAGGGTGCTCTAGGAGCTACAGGGGTGGATCTGCACCTCCCATAGACTCACTTGCCAGAGACAGGGCTACTGAGGGGATCAGCCATGGCCCATGTGTGGTAGGGAGTCTTGTGTCCACTCTCCGGGCCAAGGGCTCCCTTTCCCCAGCTTTACGTGTAGGCCAGGTGCTGTGAGGTGAGGTAGCTCTGACAGAAACAGGCATAGCCTCTTAGCCTGGATACTGTGGGGCTGCCACGCTGGTGGGGGACTCTTGAAGGCACATCCCTCGTCATGTCACCTGCTGAGTTCAAGGGACACAGAAGCTCTAGGTGTGATACTCAGGGGCAGCCTCAGTAACAGGTAGGGGTCAGTCAGTACAGCCATCGGCTCTGCTGGGAATGCCACAGGGCCATTTTTTTTTTTTAAGCACAGTCTGCCTTTCAGGACAGGTGGGTGGGCTTAAGTAGGATCGAGGATCAAGTCCCCAGTAAAAGAAAGCCTGGCTAGACACTGATACCTGGCAGGGTGTGACATGGGAGTGGGGTGGGGGTGGGGTGGATCTGGGGTTCAGGTAACCTGCTGAGGGGCCACCTCTCACCTTCTACCTTCTCTTGCACCCTGAACAGATTCCAGGAAGGAGACCCTGGCCCTACCATGGCTCAGACACCTTTTACTGAGCCTTGGGTGTGTTTTTGGCTTCTTGAGCTGTGTCTACGTTTTAGTCAAGTGCCAGTACCTCGGCCCGTGGTAAGGATGTTCCTGACCAGTATTCCTTTCCCACCCCATCTCTATCATGTGCGTCTTTCCAGGTTGGGCTGGGCTGAACCCTGCTCCCTCACACCTGGCCTCCCTCTGTTCCCTCCCCCAACAGCTAACTTGTCCCTGGGCCCCATCCCCCAAGGTGGAAGCTGGTATGGGAAGGGGAGATTGATTGCAGCAGGAAGAGTCCCCTGGGGCTTCCCTGAAGGTCACAGGAGCCTCTGAGTGTCTGTCTTGTTGCCCTTGGTCCCTTCCTATCCATTCCAACCACGTCACACTCTTGTTTAACCCTCCTTAGAGATCCCCCGCCACACTAGTAATACACCCTCTCGGTTGGAGATGGTGAGCCGCTCAGGAAGCGGCTCCCCTTTCTCCAGCTGGATATGTTCAGGTTCTGAGCAGCTTTAGCAAGCAGAACCTGAGGTAGAATTCAATTTCCGTTCACTGTCTCCCTGAGGCCAGCTGTCACGCAGCGCATGGCGGGCGCCTCCGTCCATGAGAGCGCTCCCTAGGAGGCCTTGCTCCTGCCTCCCTCTCTAGCCTGACCCTGGAGGGCCTCCACTGGAAATGGTGCCATGAACCATAGTCTCTCCCACTCAAGAGACATCTTTGGACTAGCGCTCAGTTCTGGGTCCACAAAAGGAGCAACCCTGTTACACGTTTCGTTTCGGTCTGTCTTGTCAGTGTGTCAGCTTCTGGGGAGCCGAGGCCTTCTCTGCTGTCCACTCTTGGGTCCCCAGTACCCCATGTAGTGTTCTCCCTTAGTGAGTGTTCAGTCAGCATTGTTGAATAAACGAGTGGACGTGGGATGGGCCCACCCCCTAGTCTCAGAACCGGGAAGCTGGGGATAGGACATCATACCACCCCCTCCCCGGCCTCCCCCTTCACCCCTCCCCTTCTTCCCTGGCCAGGCTGAAGACAGCTCTCAAATGCCACGTCCCAGACCCCTCTGAGTTCTTCTCCCAGCTGAGCTCCCAGCACGGAGGAGACCTTCAGGTAGGAGCCAGGGGTAGAAGACAGAGGGGGTGGTTGGTGGATGGGCACCCCAAACACAGGCTGCAGGGCAGAGGTATGATCAGGGGACAAGGGCTTTGCCCTAGTAAGAGGGTCCAGGGTGCTGAAGTGAGCAGCCTCTTTCGTGGGCCCAGCTCTGTCCGTGCTCTGGCATGGTTCTAAGTCCCACGGCCTTGACTCTGGCTCTGGCTCTGCCACTGCCTAGCTGTGTAAGCAGAGGCAAGTTATAGAATCTTACGGGGAGAGGTGAGTTGAGGACCTGCCAGTTCTTTATCGCTGTGGGCAGGGCTTGTGTCCTTCTGCACCGGCTGCCTGTGACTTGAGCAGGATGGGCCCTCAGGGACACTGACCGGCTGGTTAACTCCATACAAGCCGGTGGGGATTCTGGCCCTTCTGTGTCCTCACACCTAGTTTAGTCCAGGTACACAGCAGGGGCTCGGTAGCCAGCCACACTGGCTCCTAGCCAACATCCCCTGGACATCTGTGAAGCAGTACTGTGGCTGTGTTCATCTAGCATGTGGCCTAGGCTGATAAGTCCAGAAAGTCCATCAAGATATCAAGGCTACAGGATGATTTTAGGTCGGGGGTGGGGGCTGCTGCTGGAGGACCCGGAGAAAGAAGAGGAGGAGGAGGAGGAGGAGGACGAGGAAGACGAGGAGGAGGAGGAGGAGGAGGAGGAGGAGGAGGAGGAGGAGGAGGAGGAGGAGTTGAGTTCAGTGGTGGGCTGGGAGGTAGAGCGGTCCACTCACTCTCCTCACTTTCTCTGGCAGAAATGGCTCTCCTCGCCCTTCCCCTCATCCTCCTTCAGCCCTGCCGGCCCTGCCCCTGAGATCTCTCCACTAGAGGTGCTGGAGGGAGACACCAAGGCCAAGCAGCTGCTCCTGCTACAGCAGGACACAGCCCCCTCACCCTCGCCCAGCGGCCACTCCCAGACCAGCTGCTTCACCAACCAAGGCTACTTCTTCTTCCACCTGCCCAACGCCTTAGAGATCGAGTCCTGCCAAGTGTACTTCACTTACGACCCCTGCATGGAAGAAGACGTGGAGGAGGATGGGCCAGGGCGGCCCGAGGGATCGTCCCTCCCTTCTCTGCTCCCTCTGGCTGGGGAAGAGGATGACTACTGTGACTTCCCACCCAGAGATGACCTGCTGCTCTTCTCCCCCAGCCTGAGCTCCCCCAACACTGCCTTTGGGGGAGTAGTAGCCCCGGAAGAGAAGCCTCCCCTCTCCCTGCAGGAAGGACTTCCCTCTCTCCCATCTCCTGACCTGATGGGCTTGCAGTGCCCTCCGGAGTTGGTGCAGGGAGGTGATGGAGAGGAGCTGTCTGATGGAAGCTCAGGGGAGCAAGCCAGTGTCCCTGAAGGTAGCCCTTGTGAGCAAGGTCAGGACACGGCCCTGGCCTCTGTGCTGCCTCCAAACACTGATGCCTATCTGTCTCTTCAAGAACTACAGGCCCAGGATCCAGCCCACCTGGTGTAGACTAGGTTAGGTCAGGTTTGAAGGGGACCGGTTGAGGAATGTTCCTGGTTATCCGCACCCCAACACTTAGTCATCCTCTTCTGAGCTCTACTTGCTGCTCTCTGGTCCAAGCAGGATCTGGGGTGGGGAGGGGTGGTCAGCTCCCCCTCCCTCTCTAGTCATGAGGTCACTAGCTTCCTGTACCTGCCTTACTCCTGCTCACCTTCACAGAGCAGCCAGAACCTGCTTCCCCAAACACAAATGTGCCCCATGCTCCTCTTCTGTCCTTGAGCTTGCCGTGGCTCCCTACCCCTCCGCACCCTTCCCTGTCCCAACTCTTGCCTCACCAGCACTGCTGGGGGGCAGCTGTCCTCGGGGTGTGGCGTGGCTGCTGCTGTCTTAATCAGCTGCGTCTACCCAAACTAAGAGAGCCTGATAAGACTGGTTGCAGCCTGTTGACTGTTGACATTCTCTCATAGAAGGAGGGGATGGGAAGGGTCACCAAACTGTCACCAGAGATTCCAGCCACTCTCCTGCCCGCCATCTCCAGCTATGTGTAATTCCGCCCCTGGTGCATGTGTTCTTGGAAGATGCTGGCATATGCCTGGGGATGGCGGGTAGAGGATTGATTGAAGTGAGGACTCCATCTATGTAGCTGTAGTGACATCATCACCTGCTCTGGGGTGGGAGTTTCTGTGATGGAGTCCCCTAGGCTCCTGCAAGTAAGCCTCTAAGACTCAAAGGTTCACCAAGCTGGGCTTGTGGATTCCTGCCTTTGAAACCATATATGGGAGAAGTAGATATCCGTTCATGTATCCCCCTCAATTCTCCCCCAAAAAAGCATACTCAACAAGCATTGTGTCAGCATTGTGTCCTTTGTGTAAACCTCACAAGGATCCCACGGGGTCCCCTGGAGTCCCCCTCTTGAGTGACACCCATTCAGGCACTATTTGTTATGCCTCACCTAGGTGACAAATGTCCCTCATCTTCACCTGGAAGTCCTGTGCGGCTTCCCTAACGCATTCACACTTCCCTGGTCCACACTAGAAGGAGCTGATGGGGATAGCGCCTGACCCATCTTCCTTCTTTGGAGCTATCTCTTGACCTCCCAATGACAGGCTCAGCGTGAACACAGATACCTACACAGCAGTGGCTGCTGTACCTTTCCACGCCCACCCCATCAATTCATGAGGGAGCCTGCTGAGTCCCAGCAGCCCAGGCAGAGATGGCATGCCTAGGTGTACCATCTCACCCTCAGAGGAGAGCATTGCTCTCTAAGGCAGCTCCTCCAGCACAGGTCTCAGTGTCTGTCAATGTTCCAGGGTTGGTGGCACCATGGTGATCAGATCCTATCTCCTAAGGGAAGCAGAAACCTAGACCTAGCTAATGGATGCCCTACCACAGTGCCTGCCTCATGGTTCCTGCTCATACTCATTGGCTGTCTGGCCAGACCACAGGCCTACAAGCTGACTGGCAGCCTGAGCATAGAAGGTCTGTCACAGAGGCTGGGCCTGATCTAACCAAGCAAATTATCTCTCAGTCAGATGTCCTGGGAGCTGGTGCTTGACACAAGGCCCCAAAGCTTAGCAAGAAGAGATGAGCCAATGCAGAGGGTGTTTGGGTCCCATGCAAGAGTTTTCCTGCCTACCAGGGGTCAGAAGTCCTGCTTCCTTCTGTATGAAATCCCACACATTCCCTCCTGCCACAGGATGCTGTCTGTGGCCATCCTCCTCTGTCTCAATAATGGATTAGACCCAAACACCGCATCCATACTCTTGACTGTGTATCCTGGGCAAATGTAAAAAAAAAGGAATTCTTTTGCCTTAGCTCCCAAACAGAAATAGAACTTATTTCCACTGTTTGAAGAGATCTGAGGAGGATTTGGTTCTCTCTCTTTTAATGATCTGTGCATGCTGTCTTTGTAATTATTCCCTGAGAAGTTTAAAACTCTTTCATTTTTTTTGTTTGTTTAAATACATGTATTTAAAGACTTTTCGTCATATTGTTTCTGTGGCTGGAAAACTCAATCTTTCTATAAATAAAAGGCGATTATAAAAAGCAGGTACAATAAAACTACGTAAGGTGTGACTCTGATCTGGGGGTGGAGCCTAGTGCCAGAGCTCTGCCTAGCTGGTTCCATCCCTGGGATTGCAAGGAGAGTAGAGGGATAATGTTTATTTCATCGCTGTTGGAAGCCTGTCATTTCAGTCTAGAAGGATGATACTGCTGGAAACTGAGGGAAACTTCCTCCGTGAACAAAGCGTCGATGCTGAGAACATCTTGGTCATTTATAGGAATCAGGTTTCTGTGCACAGATACGCTCCAACTTCTCCTATCTCCACATCCAGGCTTGGGCAAGTGTTCCAATGGATCATAGACCATGAATCGATCTATCATTCATTTATCTCTCTGCCCCCGTTCCCCCGACCCCATGTAGTTATCTTAATGATCACTTTTCAACTATTGGGATTTTTGCAGTGTCTTGAGAAACAATAGTCAGCAATCTCTACCATTCATGAAGCTGCTCATGTGGCAGACATTGCTAGTTGATTACACTTAATGCATGGCAGACACTCGTAATCAATTGTATCTATACATGGCAGACATTGCTAATCAATTGTATCTATACATGGCAGACACTGCTAACCAATTACCCCTGTGCAGGGCAGATCTTAATATTTAATCAGTCTTCCTTCCACCAGAGCCTGGATGCAGCTTTTAGATTCTGCAGTACTGTTTCTGGGGCAGCCCCAACTGCTGAGAACTGGCACTTAGCAACATGTCTGGGTTAGGCTGCCTCTCTGTTTCCTTCTACAAAATGAGCTCTTCGCTTTCCCGGGCTGAGTCTCCGGGCAGGGAGAGCAGATGCTGAGATGGGGCAGACTGGAAAGCTGAGAGGGCAATGAGCAAGGGGCCCAGAAGTCCAGCTGTTCCCCATGTCTGGTGGGAGACCTGAGCTGGCGCAGGGTGTAGAAAGGGGCCACCGTATGCCAGGTGGAGATGGAACCGTGAACCAGTGCCACGCATGTCCTGTGGATATCTTGGGAGAGGGGCCAGGAGGGAGCAGCTGGCAGGGTAGTGCAGGGAAGGGGGTGCCAGGATCCCCAGGGTCAGATTTCAGGGGAAAGGTACCAGCTGGAGAGTAGGCATAGCCCAGGCTCTGGAGAGCCTCAGGTACAGAGTGGGGAGCAGGAAGCAGCTGGGAGCACCAGGGGGTGCAAGGAAGAGGGGGCGGGCGGAGGGGAGGAGCTTCAGGCCTCTCCTGTGTCCTTGTTAGCCTGGCCTGTACCTTCTTCATTTCCCAGGTCGTGTCTCTGCTCTAAGCAACTTCCAGAGCCCAAGTTTTCGGGTGAATTATGGTAGAAATATTTTGTTCAAGTCGAAGGCCAAAATCCAGCCTTGCCTTACCCGGTGTGATGGCACTGTGATGGTCAACAGAGGAAGTCTCAGGAAAGCGAAAGTAAAACCAAAACACCAGAGCATGTTGACACTGTGGCTCAATCTGAACCCCAGCATGGTTGGGGGCGGTGTCTAAGGCTGGGGGATCTCAGGTTTGAAAGTAGCCTGGTTCACATAGTGAGTTCCAGGTCAGTCTGGACTACATGGCAAGCCCCTGTTCCAAAAGAAACAAATTTAAATAAATAACCACAAACCAGTCAACTCCCTCTGCCCCACCAAAAAGGTATATCTATCACCTCTCACGGCCTTGAGAGGCAGGCGTTTGCTTCCCACTTTGCAGATGAGGAAGTCGAGGCCGGGGTAGTTGAGAAGTCTAGCTGCTAGTGGGTAGAGACATAGATTCTGTACTCCAGGCTCCTCAGTCCCTAGACTTCTCTGAGTGCAAATGTGCCAGGATACACTCCTACAAAACTGGGAAGCTCTGTCTTAGCCTCCTGGTTGCCAACCTCGAAGAAAGAAAATGCTGCAATACCCACCACACTGTGGGAGGAAGAAAGGCCCTCTCACAGATCCACTGCCCAGGACACGGGGCTGAGGATGTGGCTGACAGTCAGGTGAGGTGGCCTTGGACTCCACTCTCCTCCTCATGACTGGGGCCTCCCTCTGTGCACTGCCTCCCATCGGACACTCCAGCATCCCACGGGCCAGGCACCAGCCCCTGCTGCCTCCTCCCTTGCTCAGCCTCCTCCCTGCTCAGCCTCCTCCCCGCTCAGCCTCCTCCCCGCTCAGCCTCCTCCCTAGCCCACCTGTCTCCATGACCCATCTGCCAGGCATGTCCATTTTGACTTTGCAGCATGATGTCATCTATAAAATCCACACGTGAGCACCACACAATTAAGGTAAAAAAGAAAAATCACATACTTTTTTTTGTTTTGTTTTGTTTTTTACTTAAAACAGTTCTGGGTTGGGCGACACTCATGGCTGCCCTGCATGTAGCTGCAGGGTGCAAGTTGGGAACAAAACCTTCCACCATGGGCCCTCCCAAGATAATCTCACTAAGGACCACAGGTGGCCATACCACATCCTGGTTTGACTCCGGAGACACGCTATGGTCATCAGGATAAGACTGGGTTCTTCGATGTCACTGTCCTTGACCTGGTGACCCTGGGGAGCTCCCCTCGCCTCCATGCCCCATGCCTGTCAGTGCACCGGGTATTTAGACTAGAGTGCTTTTAGGTCTTTCCTCAGTGCTCAGTCTGCAGCTCTAGGTACCACTTGGAAGGTGGCATGAGCCTGGGACCGCGTGTGTCACTCTCAGAGCTGGAGGCTGGGGTTGGGGGTGGCCGCAAACAGAAACTAGAAATAACTGATTTCCATTGTCATGTGCTGACCTCCGAGGGTGAGAAACAGCTCTATACTCAAGCAATCCACTCACAGACTCCTAAAGATCCCTCAGAACCCCATTCAAGAAGTCCTGTTTCTGGGAGGCCCTCTGAGTCCCTCCTCTTGAGTCGAGGCAATTCTGGAGACTCTCTGCTCTAAGCATCCTGTCATTAATGTGCTCCAGCCTTACATATGTGCCCTGTGGTGGTGGTTTTTTTTTTTTTTTTAATCCCATTTTACAGATGAGTTTTGAACTCAGAGTGATTTGATGGCTCACTCCGGGTCACACAGCTAGATCACTGCAGAGAAAGGATGTGAACCTGGGTGATCTGTGACGCTGCCACCGGCCCAGGTTGTCAACGCTCTTTAAAGCGTGTGCCAACAAGTATCTCAGAGCATCTGAGCCCTGAGAGGATGCTGCCACACACCCTGCCACAGGGGTTTAGTGCAGAGGGGAGGGGTGTTGATGAAACCTAAGCTCACTAGAAGCTCTGAGCCTGACCCCCATGTCAGCCCTGGGACAGCCCCTCTGCTGACATTTTCCGACACCAGGGATGCGACACACCCACTGAGGACCTTGAGAAAGCAAAGCAGGAAGCCGGCCCGCTTGAGACCTGGGGCGCAGGATGCCAGGAGGCACCCTTGATTCCAGGAAACCAGGGTGTTGAGGGGAGAGAGCAGCTGGTGGAGAGGCCAGCTTCTCTGCCCCTCTGGGCACCTGGGCCCGTGTGGGCATGCACACAGGCACACAGGTGTAGGTATGCGATAGGTGCTGGCCCTGGGGCTGGAGTGTCTGCAGAGGCCTCAGCCTCATGGGGAAGGAGTGACCGTGGAGGGTGCAGACAAGTAGTCAGCACTTACAAGACTGTCCCCATACCTGACTCAAGACCTCATCCATCAGGGAAGCAAACTGCTCAGCCAGGAGGGAAGATGCTGGAGGGGCCTTCGAGGGTGCTCAGCTCGAGTTCAATGAGACTTAGGAGCACTTGATGGAGAGAAATAACAAATACATTCATTTGTTCATTCAGCACTCCTTTTTGAAGGGTGGTGATGTTCAAGGCGGACGCAGGATGACCAAGGACAGGAAGGCCACTGCCGTCCACCCCTGCCGCCCTTAATGGCTGGGGCAGGGAGAGACAGTGGTCCCAGCCTTCTGGCGCTGGCTGGGCAGCCTGTGTGATGTTCTGGCTCTGCTGCTTGCCAGCTGTGACCTCAGATGAATGCCAAAGCTGCTCTGTGCCTTGGTGTCCTTACGGTGGCAACACCTGGACCGTCATGAGTATAAAATAATTAAGTGCATGTGATATACTTAAAAGGGTGCCAGTGGTAAAGGGGCCATGGGTGGGGACAGAACTGTGACCAGGTGGCCCGGGAATGGTGGCTGTGGAAGCCCCCAACTCCTTGCTTCCTGCTGGTGTTCTTGTCTGCCTTGCAGCCCTTAGGGACCCCGTGGGCTCTGGCGCCCCTTTTTGCCTTTTGAGGCTCTTACTCCTTTGTACGTCTGCCCCAAGTATCTTGACCATGGGGTTCTTTCTTGGAGGAATGACATGCACTGAAGCTAGGGGCCTTCTCCTCCTCCTCCTTTTAGCTGCTACCAGCCTTACTCAGGGTCATTGTGTCCCTGCCAGGTCTGTCCCACTGGGCCTCTTAAAGTCTCAGTTTTCTTGTCTATGATGGAGAGCGAGGGAGCAAAAAGGAGATTCTATCTATCTTCTATATTTCTGGTGGCCCAGAAGGCTGGCCTACAGCCTGGGAAGGAGGCGGAGGCCCCTCCTTCATAAGAACCCTCCCTCATTTTCTAAAGGAATCCTCCCCCACTTCTCCCTTCTCCACCTTCAATGTCCAAGGGAATTAGAGACAACAGCTGTGTTTGGGAGCCCACGTGAGGTCAACTTGTCACGCCGTTATTTGTCAGTGGGATTACTGAGCTCCTGCCGTGAGCATTTGACCTTCAGATGATGACATTTGGAGGAGCTGGGACACCACGAGACACTCGTGGTGGTGGTCAACTCCAGCCATGGGGTGGGTGTCTCTGCCTGATGGATCCTGACACCGACTCCGGCATGGGACAGAGCGAGCCCCCAGGA